AGCTAATCAGCAAGCTGGAGCTCAGGAAATTGAAAAATCTCATTGTGCAGCCCCAGAAGCTCAGGGTGCTCAAAACAWGTGTCCTGAAATGTGGGTGCCTGGGACAGCTGGAGTTCAGTTTGAAGTTATGGCATTTCTGCCTTTGTTAGTTTGAGGCTGTGCAGGGATTTATCTCAAAAGATAAATGTGGGATACGTTAATTTAGGAATTATATAAAGATAAGGAAGAACCTGTTTGAAAATGAGTGCGTTCAGAGTTTTTAAGGCATCTAAGAGCTTCACTGAAGATGATGACTGAGTTTAATGCAGGGGAACCAGATACCAAAATCTACTTTTAGGAAAAAATTAAAAAACAAAAAAAAAACCCCAAACACTTCCCAACTTCTTCTTCCCACTCTGTTGGAACCTGCCAGCATTTTATCTTGGCCAGGGGTTCCAGGCTTCCCCCAACCCCTGCTCAAAACTCAACTTTTACATTTAATTCTGCATTTGGGGTTGATGCACACAGGCTCTGCCTGCTCCTTTGCTCTTGCYCTGAGCCTTGAGCCCACCCTCAGCCTTTGTCCCACCATCCACCAAAACACCCTGTACTTGTCTGGCCACAGAGGCCCTGGTGTCACCYACCCTGCTCAGAGAACACTGAGACACTCACCCAGGTGCTCAGGACRCCAACAGCAGATGAATCTGGGCGGTGTTTGGGACATCTCTGCAACCAGCACAAAGCACAGTCTGAGTAAGATCACTGCTCACTGTGATATTGTTTGCAGAGAGAAAGAGGAAATATATTTCACGAGAGACTGGGACAGCACCAGAATATCAATACAATGCTCACAAAGCAAGTTTAATCCATTTTTAGCCTGTAATAAACAACGAAGTCTGCGAAACCTTGACAAGAATACATTGTGCATCCTCAAGGAGGACAACACAACAGGATGTGTGGGGAACGAAAGTTTGCCAGCAGCATGAGAAGAACTCAGAGTGGAGTCTGAATATCTTCACCAGCTCRTGGGACTCTGGAGTGAGTTTTGCTGTAGAATCACAAATAGAGATGAAGAATTCACCGTGTAGAGCTCGCACAAACAGCTCCTTTTGCAAGAGATAATAATGGTGCTTTGTGCYGGCCTTTTTTGGGTGAATTTCCCTTATGGCAGCTCATGGGATCCTCTTGTGGGTCTGTGACCAAAGCAYTGCTGTTACCACACTGATGATTTCCATATTGAACATTGTGCTCAGCAATGAAAAGGAAAATAAGAGGATTTTAGTTAGATTAGACACCTTTGGTTTGAGATCCATCTGGGTACTGGTCTACCTGTGRGACATGGGGAGTGATTGCTTTGTCTTCCTTCTTTTGTTTTCTTTTAATCATCTTCTACTGATTCAGTTATGATCAATTTTCCTCTTGATCACCCAAATTTCTTGCTTTTCTTTGTCCTTTYCTCTTCCCCCAGGCCCCTGGAGTGAGGGCTGGAGGGCAGAGAGGGGATGGCTGTGCCGTGTTGAGTTGAACTCTGAACCCACACCCAGAGCACACCTTGGGCACACCATGGAAATCTCTTTGTCCATCATTGTGGCAGCTGTTAAATGACCAAACACAGACACTTCTCTGCTTTCCAGATCTCTCAGTTTCATGTGGTTTCCTCCCAGACTTCTGTTAGGGGCTCCACATTACTRTTTCCCCATCCTTGTCACCACAGTAATTTTTTGTTTGTCCAGTGCTTGCAAAGGAGACTCTCTCTCTTCACCCTATGTGTTGTGAATTTCTGTTCTCCTTCATATCCTCCCTTGATAGACTGGTTTCTATTTTCTTCCTGGGAACAATGTTATAGTTTAAAGAAATACAAATATTGCTTTTAAGACATCTGTAGAAAGAAGGGTGAAAAAAGTGAGGGTTGAACGTGCTAAAACTGTTAAAAGCTAAAAAAAAAAACCAAAAAAAAACAAACCAAACAAAAAACAAACCCAAACTGGAAGAAGAAATAGAAATCCTTGTTCAATGGAGCTTTGCTGATTTGGGGTGAAGATCCAGGCTTTGTTCACTGTAGGGAGAAGGTGAGTTCAAATATCCAAGACTAAACAAGAAGAGACCACTGAAAAGCGAGAGCTACTGAAGTGAAATAATTTTGTTTTTAAAAATGGCATCCAGAAACCTTATCTTTGACACATAAGAACAGACACATAGCTAAATATGCTGTAACCTGCTTAGGTTTCCAAAGCAGCAAATTAAACCAGTGGACTATGCAGTGAGTGTCCATTCAGATGAGCAAAGCTCATTGAACACAACAATACTGTAAGAGAACATGTTGAATACTCAATGCACCAAATAATCCGCTTTTGATACAGAGACAGTCACAGCTTTGGGAAGTGTCTGTGTGATTTGGGGGGGAACAGGGAAAACGTTCTGGGACAGGAAGATGATAAGCAAAACTACTCTCTTTGCTTTGTTTTATGTTTTTCTCTAATCGTATTTTTATTATATTGATAGCAAATCTTTATTTCCAGGCAGGACAGCTGTCCCAGGAGTTGATTGAGTTTGATTTTCTAGAAGGAGGTGTTACCTCATGGAGAGTATTTATCATAGAATCAGAGAATCACAGAATATCCTGAGCTGGACCCCCAGGATCACCCAGCCCAGCCCC